AAACCATTTTTGTACCTGCAAAACGTTACGCCACCATGTGGAACATATTGTGTAACATACTGTGTCGATCATCTAATTGAGTAAAGCCCGCTATGTTATGTGTTGCAATGTCATATCGGGCCTCGGAATAAAAATGCTTACACTGTTGACAGCTAGTTAGAAGAAATACATTATTTGTATAAATTCCTAATTTTCGTTAAAATTGTTTATAAGCATAATTCGTAAAAAAATGAATAAAATAATTATTAGAAGGATCTGGATATTTTTTAAAAATATTTGCACAAACACATATAAATTTGCAGCTCTTTTGATGCTTTATTTTTTCTTTACTTTTTTGCCACCATATCTTTGTTTTATGATATACCCCCTTTTCTGCTACTGCTATATAATTATTTTTGTTCCCTATGGAAATTCACGTTCAAAATTGAATGAATTCTTTTTAGTTCATAAACGATTAATAGTATTACATCCAAAGCATTGTACATTTTTTGCAATAATTGCTTTTTTAACATTTATTTATACATATTACCCACTTGTAGAAAGTTCTGACAGATTTTCACTTACTATATCATTTGCTTGTGCGAGAGCGATGTGGTTAATACTATTTAATTTCTTCACTATTGAATTTGCAACTATTTTTCCTTCTGGTTCAAATTTTTTATATTTCCAAACTATTGAATCATTTATTTTAGTGGAAATGTTTACTTTCAAATTTTTCAGAAAAATTATGTATAATCAATATATTAATGTTTATCATTATATTTTTATTTTTTACACCTATATTAGTGACTTTTTGTCCAATATGCACTAAAAAAAAAACTCATGGATATGGTGTCAAGAATGTGCTACTACATATTTTAAAAAAAAATTTATTAATTGGACTAGTGGAAATCAAGAAATTGATGAAGTTATAAAAGAAATTCAAATCAATTCGAAGATTCCAGAAGATTTCATAGAGTGGATTCCATATGAACAATTTGTACATATAACAAAGATCTGTCATGGTGGATTTGGAACCATTTATAGTGCTTATTGGGTACAGAGCCCCTCTTCATATGGTTTCAAATGAGTTCAAAAGAACCGGAAGAACTCGCGTTGCACTAAAAAGTGGTATTTCTTCAGAACGGTTGGAGGAGGTAATTATATTTTTTTCAATTAAAGCCTTTTATTCATTTAATTAATTTTATTAATAAATATCATAATGTACAATATCTATTTTTTAGATTCGTATGCACATAAAATGTTGTACTATTACAAGCAGATTTATTAGATTTCAAAATAAAGTGTTGTTATGGTCTTACTAAACGTCGTGTATCTGAAGGTATTGAGGAGCATATGCTTGTGATACAATATGCTGAGGATGGTGATTTATTAAAATATTTAACAAAAAATTTTAATAAAATGAGATGGCTTGAAGATAAGTTGCCAATTCTTGCTAATATTGCAAATGGCCTTAAAATTATTCATAAAGAAGGTTTAACTCATCGTGACCTTCATTGTGGAAATATTTTAATTAACAGTGATACATCTTATATTTCTGACTTTGGATTATCACGTCCCTATGACCATGATGATTCTGCTACACGTAATCTATTTGGTGTAGTCCCATTCATGGCTCCAGAAATTTTTACAAGTAAATCATTCAATCCTAAATCAGATATATATAGTTTTGGAATTATTATGTGGATGTTTACTTCTGGAACTTTACCATTTCAAAATCGTAATTATAATAAATACTTAGCACTAGATATATATAATGGAGCTCGACCTCAAATAATAGATGGAACTCCACCTTTCTTTGTTGATATAATGCAAAGCTGTTGGGATTCTGAACCTGAAAAAAGGCCTACATCGTCAGAAATTTATGAAATAATTTGTTCGTGGTATTATCTAAAAAATTATGATGAATTTAAAGCTTCTGACAACATTTTATTATCACAAAATGCACAAAACATTGAAAGCCAATTTGCGCAAAATACTTTGAGTTATTTAAATAGACAAAACAATTCTTATCATAGCTGTCGAATTGATTTAAGTCTAATATCAACTGTTAATCAATTTCAAGGTATCAATTTATTATTATTCTTTTCATAAAAAAAATTATACTGTAAACTGTATTAATCTAGTTAATTTTTTAGATACAGATCTATTGAACTTGGAAATAAATGACTTTTTATAGCACATATAATTTCAATCATTGTCGTGGCTGATGCTGAGATTGGCTGATGGTGAAATTTAACCCTATTTTATTTGAAATTCTAAATTTTTTTTCGGCTTTTTTTTTAGAGATGGTCAGAATTTAGTGTTGATAAACAAAGTGTATATGTACTGTAGATTTTAGTAGCGTTTATATTTTCAAATCGAAAACCCATATTTGAACATCAGCCGCAACAATTACTGTGTGATGGTTGACTTTTCATAAAAAACCGACATTTCAAATATTAAAATTTTTAAAAGTTTATTATAAAATAATTGCTATGTTTCTATACTGAACAATATAAAATACAAAGTTAATTATAGAGTGTGTTTATTATAAAAAGGTTTCTCATAAAAGTTATAAAGAGAATCAATTATATATAATTTTTGTATAGTGTATTCTCTCAAAATTTTTCTTGGCAAGCAAATTTATTTAGAAACTTTTTAAATTATTTAATATATTATATTTTCATAAAATAACGACATAAGCATTATTTAGAAAATTGTCTCCTGAAAATAGATACATGGTTGCAAAATTTGATATAATAGGTAGGTTAAGAAAAAATTTTCTTTTACTTCAAAAACAACACACATGTTCGCATTCTAAATAATGCGTATATGCGCAGATGGGCGTTATTTCGCGAAAATATGGTATTTTTTTTCATATTAAAGTTTCCCATTTTGTATTTAACAATTTTAAGATATTTTCAAATTCATTAAAAAGCACTTGATTAATAAAGTTTAAATTAAAATTTTTTTAGTAAATTAGTGATTTAAATTGAATATCAAGTTGTTAATTAAAAATATTGACGATTGCATTAAAGAATTTTAAAATCACAAAGCATAATAAGGAATTTTCTTTAATAAATTGTTAGCAAACTAGATAGATGGCATCCGATAAATTTCATACGTATGTGTAAATTCATAATAGTATAGGATACTTACAGTTGCTATTGTAAATTCTGGGACAACTGAGAAAAATTGATCGATAATTAATTCGGTAAGTTATTGATTCTTTGTTATTTCAGAAACTTTTACCAAGTTCAAATAAACTAGATAAAGACTTTAGAGAATTTTCTGTGGGTTTAATTTCATATGTTAAAGAACTTCTGTCACTTTTAAAAAAGCAATTTTATTATTGAAGTCTAACTGACCTTTTTTTGAGTTTCAAGAGAAAGTCTGCTAGATAATAAGTGTCATAAACTTCTGCATAAGCTAAATAAATTGAGAATACAGTATTAGGCATGCATCTGCTTCTGTGTGCTAGTTTAATTCAGTAATAAATGGATTTATAAGCGTAAACATATCTTGTTTGTAACTATGTAAAAAACAATAGATGATGCAAAGAAAGAGATCTGTTGAGGTAATACCTAAAGTAGCTCACATGTTTAAAAACCAAAGACTAAATTCATTCATTTAAATAAATTAAAGATTGGTCGTTAAATTATTCTCTAATCTCCAGTAATTCTCAATTACTTTCACAAAAAAAGTTCGCTAAATACTATTTCGAAGATTGCTGTTTTTCATGAAAAAAAGTTAAAAAAAAATTAATTGGATAATATGTCGAGTTTGTTAAATAAATTCTTTTGAAAGAAAGCCTATTGAATAATTTTGTTGGGAATCTATCTATATTATAAATTGTGTGCGTGTCTATTTTCAGTCTTTTTATTGGCTACTTATTAAGTACATGAGTTCTACACGAATATATAGATCTGCTCACGTAGCAAAACGCGTACAGGACTAGGGCTGTGAATCGATTCTAAAAATTAGAATTGATAATCGAATCCCCAAAATCGATGATCGAATCTTAAATGTATTATTTTTTGTTCCGATTTGCCAGACTAAGCTTTAATCTGTTTTGTATTGTTAAATGCTATAGATTATTTGATTA